TCCCCTGAGGCGCTGCACTCTCTGGGCCTGGCCTGGATGATGGAGCCGCTTTGGCTGGATGGCGTGAGACACTGAGCATGGGATTCTGGGTGACTGAAGACTTTGAAGGAATGCCATTTCTCCCAGAGTCAAGGTCACTGATGGGCTCAGTGCGTGTGGCACCAGTGTTCACACTCACTCATTCCTCCCAGACGTGTTTATTGAGCCCTTCTGACAGGGCTGACGGACAGCGGAAGACTCAGTAAGAAGCATCTGGAACCTGTCTGTGCCCTTCTGAGCTGCAGGAAGACCAGTGTGCCTGATCATCACCTGTGACCAATGCTATGCCATAACCGACATGTGTTGCTTAGGGAAGGCTTCTCAGAGGAGGAAGTCAGTGAAAGATAATGGCAAAGGAAATGGCATTGGAGGCAATTCCTGAGGCATGAGAAGAGCTTTCTAGGCAGAAAACACGACTGCAGAGGTACTGAGGTGAATAAGGGAAATAGGTTTGCCATTCAACACAAAAGGAGATCTCCGCCCAGCCTGCTGTTGGTTTCTCAGTTCAGTCCTGCCTTTGCCCTTCCATCTGTCCATCAGACAGAAGAGTGTCTGTCAATCATCTGTTGACAGCACCAGCCGTTTGCACAGAGAGTGGAAGATGAGAAGGCTGTCACCTACTGAGACATTTGGAGAAGCGATCAAAGATCAGAAACTTCATAAGAAATCTGGCTTCGCACTCTGGTGTTCCAAAGAATTAGAGATTAGTAACATCGACTCATCTTTAGGACTTTTTAAGTCTTTGTAGTCATTTCTTCTGGTACGTGACAGACTCCTTTGAATGATGACAGGGCTAGGAGCAGGGCTATTTCCAAGCAGCTGGCTGTGTCCACATCTGGAACCATCCAGCCCAGTGAGCGAGGATGGAGGGTCATATGAACGATTGTAGCAAGGGGCCCAGGGCCTCCTACCGTGTACACCTTTCCGAGATGATCCCTCTGCAATAAATTCTTTCAATAAGACAGTATTTTGGCATGCTAACTGACCCATACTGAAAAGGTAATCAAGTGATGGGAAGGCAGGCTTGGTTTGCTTCTGTCTGAATCATTCTCCTCCTCCCTGAGATTCAGTACCTGACACCCACACAACTTAAAGCAGGAGAAGTTTATTTTGGCTCAAGTTTCAGTCCAGATTTGGTTGGCTCCATAGAAGAAACAGCATGACAGAAGGGCACCGTGAGGGAAAGGCTGCTTATGTTGTGAAGGCCAGGAAGGAAGGAGAAAAGCGAAGAGCTGGGAAGGGAGATGTGTTCTTCCAGGCCACAGCCCAGCGACTTGCCTCTTCCCATGAGGCCCCACCTTCTAACAGGAAGTCGACTCCAACACCCTAATAAACACGTGAGGCTTGGGACTCCATTGTAGAACTAAATCATAATGGTCCACAGATGCAGGGATTCCGGCCTCAAGGTCACAGGGATGGCAAATGTCAGAGTCTTTGATTCTAAAGCTAAAATCTTAGCCTCAGGATAATAATCAGCTTGCAGTTAATACCAGCCCGGCACAGGGGTTGCTCATTGCTGGGCACTTTTCTTGCCCTCTGTGCCTGCCCAATTCCCGTGGCCTGAATTTGCCCTTTCGCCTGGGATATCTGAAGCTGAATTGGACATTGTGCAATGTTGTCATCAAACAGTTATAGAAAAGATTTCTTTTAATTAATGTATTTCTTATTGCCTCCCTCTCCCCCAGCCTTTTTTGTCTCTGCATTTTAGGGACAACCTCATTCCGAAAGGTTTTGCCAGAGGTGGCTGTGTAATACACATTCACACCATGCCCCAGGCTTTGTCCGGGTTTCTCCAAGCTCCTCAGCCTGATCACACGCCCTGGGAGCAGGGGAACTGGCAGACATCCTCCAAGATGCTGGGCTGGATTAAGGGGCAGCACAGTAGTGAAAGGAAACTCGAGCTCTTTCCTCTTATAGCAGGGGAGTGTAGGGGTGACGATTGAATAGTATTTATTGTAAACGGCACAGGAGAAACACGGATCAGAGTGGATGCCGGCTAATTCTGTCCTTGTTGATCCTTACGCCAGACACGCTGATTCCTAACTCCCGTGGGTGACTCCATGCCACTGTCCTTCTCAGCAATCATTTAGCCCATGTGGTTGTTGACAAAGAGTTCTGTTTAAGAAGGCATCTGGTCACTAAATTCGCCCTTCAGTGTTTACACGTGGACAAAACAGTGTTGCCTGTGGTGAAACTTAATGATTCCTTTCAGATTCAGAGACCCACTTCTGCATCAGTGACACAGTGCCCTGCTTTTGACCTGACTTTATCGGCAAGGTGACAATCCCAATGTTGGCAGAACTTGTTTCTTGGTTAATATGGTGACCAAATCTATTTATATTCAGCCTGAACCTGAGATTCCAACTTACAGGCAATCAAGTACAGCAAAACCTCTTCTCTGCTGCCAATTTCTAGAATCCTGACGGAATGAAGGAAGGGCGAACTTGAAAATTATTAACTACAAGCATGATGCAAGAACTAATTGCCAAGTGGCACTCCGTGTAGAAGAAACAAATGGGCTTCCCCAGCCCACGCCCGCTGGAGCGTGCCCACTATGCTGGGGCGCAAGGCAGGCACCTTTAGAGGAAGTTGTAGGTGAGGCCCTTGTCCTCCGTGGGTCCAGGAGCCCCTCCTTATCCCCATCACCATCTGGTGGGTGGAGACTAATCTGACCAAAACGAGTGGATCACTGTGCTAGTTTGTCTTGACTGTTAATTTGAGAGGCACCCAGGAAATGAGTAAAACACAGCTGGTTGTGCTGGGGTGGGTCGTGGGCATGTGACCTGAGGGGCTGTATCTGGTACCTGGACCCTTATTCTCTGGTGTGCATCCTGGCTGCGCCCTGGCTTTCTTCTCCTATGTCTTCTGGCGTGATGATCCTACCTGGGAACCAGCTGACAATGGCCTGAAAGCTCTGAACCCATGAACCAGAACAAACCTCCCCTCTTTTCAGTTTCAGGTATCATAAATTTTGTACCAGCAACAGAGAGTGTGTTTTAGGCTCTAGCTCTAGACTCTAATAGACTTTTTATTCTTTTCCATGGATTGTTCTTTACCCACTCCTGGCTACATACTGAAAATCCCTCTCAGCCATGCCTGATTGTCTCCTGGCTTCAGATATCAGCTTAAGAATTGATGTCGCCAGGGGTCCAGGAACCTAGAATTCGGGTCAACACCACTTGAACAGATGACCCAAACCACAGCCGCATTTGTTGTTGTGCTTATTTTCAGCCATAAGACCAATGCCTCGGGCACTTAGTCCCTTGAATGGCAGACTTTTATGCCATTTGTGGTGGGCTTTTTGTGGTAACATTTGACAGACAAGATCTGTCCTCAGCTGTCTGCAGGTCAAGGGTTTGCTTTCATCAAACCTGGAAAAGCCTTCCATGAGCAGACGGGACCCTGTTCACTTTTGGAAGGGAGCAGAGTCAGCCGGGGATAGAGGTATGGACCTTGTAGTCACATGGCCCTGGTTCAGGGCCCACCTGCCTAGCTGTGTGATGTTGGGGCCGGTGTCACTTCTGGGCCTCAGTTTCCCCTCTGAGCTTCCTGTGAGTGATGCCCTCCTGTAACTGTGGTCCTCCTCCTCTTTTCCTTCCCTCTCTTCTTCCTCCCTTGCTGGCTTCCCTTGACCAGTGCTATCCCTGGGAGCACACAGAAGCCCCTTATCCAAAAAGTGAAATCAGGGAAAGACGAATACAACTAATACCAAAAACTTCCACTGGAAACGCTCGTTATTTATTCCACATAAAGTAGAAATTGTGAAAATGTGCTTACTTGGCAAATTTAGATTATAGTTGCAACTGTACTCAAGTTTTCCAAGCAAAGAAACAAATATAGCGGGCTTGGGGGCCAGGATTTTAATTAACAAAATTATCAAAGAGCACAATATAGATTCTTTACATCTAATTTCCTCAGAGTAATCACAGAGAGCCAAATATTTCTAGAGTTCTCCTCAGTTTCTCTAGGGGCTTCTCCTGATGTCTTGCTATGGAAATCATTCCCTTTGGAAGCATTTCTCATGTCTTATCTATGAAAATGTTTTTTGGGTTTTTTCTTTCCTTCATGGATCCACTACTTCTGATCAGTCTTAATATGCCAGGGGCTTCATATGTGATTGCGTCTGTTCTCTATCATCATTTTCATGGATTTTGTGAGATCTTGCCTTTTTCTCAGTGATGTTCAACTGATTGTGAGAACCGATTTACTTTGCACTTGTATTATATTGCCCGGTATTTATGATATTAGACAAAAAGATAGGGACCAAAGATGCGTGTAACTTTAACAACAACATTACTGATTCGGGGGGATATATTGGTAGAGCTAATTTTATAAATGGGAATTAAGATTTCTGTGAAGATGTGTGACTTCCCATGCAGCTGTGAGGAATTGGATAATTAATATCTAAAAATGGAAGTCACTCCTGTACTTGTATTTATTGATTGAATGGAGGGTAAATGTTTTCTTTAGTGTCTATATGTGCAAAATGAACATCAAGTCTTTCAAATCAGCCGGGAAAAGGATTTATCTAGTAGGATCCACTGCAGGCTGGGTTAATACTCATTGGAATCCTAGTATAATCTATGACATTGAGGTCTACAGTAAGTTTCTACAATGATGGACGTGCCCCAAAGAATAACCACCACAGAGGGTAGATTTGCAACATCTGAAATGTAATTTATGCAGCCTAGCAACTGAATTTTTAGTTGTCTTCCACTTTAATTACGTTAAAACTAAATATAAAACTACAGGAAGCACTGGTTATCATTATGGAAGCACAGCTCTGTGAGATCACCTCAGTGACCTGTAAATACAGAAAGCTTATCAAGATTCTGTCTAGTACCAGTGCAGCCAACTCTTTTGTAACATTTCTAGCAGGGCTTTTAATTTTCTGTCCATTCCACACAGTCAGTGTCTAGAAACAAAGGTCAGACCTTTTCAACCAACTCACTTCTGTCCTTCGGTGCCCAACCCAGGCTAGCTGGGAGCATAGGCAGGTCCCCCAGGAAACATCAGTGCTGTGGTGGCCTGGAGCGAGTAGGAATTTAGCTCAGGGTAAAGATATGTTACAAATTAAATGTTGCAGTCGGGTTCGTGAAGCTGCAATAAATAGAAACTGAGTTACATCAAGGACAGAATTAAGCCTTAAGTTTAAACTCCACAGCACTGTAATTAAAACTTAGCCTGTAGCAAATCATTCACTTGAGATTAAAGGAGTGTGGGGGAAGCAGAGGTTTGGGTTTACCTTGCTTTCCACAATTTATAAGTCTGTGCTACCAAAAAAGCCAACCGCCCTGCCCCCATGCCCAGCTCCCAATTAAAAACACAGTTTGAAAACTTTTAGGAGGCCGGAGAGGCCCCTTTCACAGAGGGCTGCCCCTTCCCCCTGCCTTAGCCTATGAACAAATTAAAAAATATTACCTGGTCCCCCGATGGCCCTCTGAGCAGACAGGGTGTTTTCATTAATACATCATTAGAGTAACGACACTGCGCTGGGGTTTGGCTTTCAAAACAGCCTGTACTTCAGCCACCACAATAGGCTCACAGGTCTCTGAATGCCATTCCTAGGAAATGTTTAGATCCTACAAAGGAAAGATGTAAGACAAAGTATAACTCATCATTACATTAATGCGGTCTTTTTACCCCAGTCTGGGTCATTCAAGGCCTGTTTTGCGTTCTGTGTTTGTTACTTTTGCAGAGTCCTCACTGGGGTTTGCCCAGCCGTGGCCTTGCAAGTCCCCTCCACAAAACTGGTTTTCTCTCGGGTGCAAAGCACATCATTCTGTGGACTCAGAACTGTGTTTTGTTTTATTTCTAGACTGTGAACTGTTACCTCATAGACAATAATGGATTTATCCTGGTGTCTGAAGACTATACCCAGGTGAGTGGAAAAGTCCTTCCAACACCAAGGAAGGAGCTCAGAATGTGCTTGGGTCACAGAGAACAATTATGGTGTTAAAACTTGGAGACATTGGTCCACGTGTGAGGGGGAGATTATAAAACCTTATTTCCATCTCTCAGAGGATGTCACAGCCCACTTCCCAGCAGGCCCCAAAGAGTTTTTACGTCCCAGTGGGGCCTCACTAGAGAGGTGGCAGAGACCAGGGTCTGTTCTCTTACTCATAAAACGTCCAGTTTATAGAACTCTCTCTACCTCAGAATTGTCTATACCACATAAAGAGTTTTTGCCCTAAGGGGTAGAGGTGCCTTAACAAATTGGGCAACATTAAGATTTTCTCCCTCTAAATATTTTACTTAAGTGCAACATGTGTGCGCGCGCACACACACACACACCCTTCTACATAGTCTTCATTGTTTATGGCTTTCTTTTGGGTTTTCGCTGTCGTTCAGAGATTAACTTGAGCTCTCGGTATCTATGTACAAGGATCCAAAGAGAAACAAAAAATAATCTTTATATGATTGAGCCATGTGTGGTGTGCAGGTTGGAGAGAGAGAAAGCAAGCAAGGTGAACTGGAGCACAGAAACATCCGCTGGATTTGGGAATCCAAAGAAGAATTAAAGTCAATAATGTGATAGAAAAACAGATTTTCTGCATTTACATTGTTCCTACAATTAGGAATTCTGTTAGTGTATTAAGGTAAGGTGAAATACAAACAAGTTCGGCACTGCAGCATTATAAATAGTATTAGCAGGAGAAACAGATGGTTTCTGGTGCATGTTCTCTTCCTGAACTAGTTTTAGGATTATCGGCACATTACTGAGTACGTCCGGGCCTCTGGAAAGGCTCTGTAAAATGAGAGTTGCTGACTGTACATAGCCCTGATATTGGAGGATACTGATATTCTACAGGGCACCCACTTCTCCATCATTGAAATTTTTTTAGGATCCAACACTGTGATAGGCCCAATAATGCTTAATAAGGTGGCCTTGAGTGTGACTCTTTAGAATCTGTGCTTACTGGTTTGTTCATCTACGAACCATGACTTTGGGAAACTTGAGGAACTGTGGTTCCACCGCTCCTCTTATCCTTGTGTGAGGATTTTAAATGTACCCTGAAAAACATTCCCAGGCACAGTTACCTCCCCTGCTGAACATCATGGATACCGGGCAGCTGGTGGACAGGAGATAGGGCGAGTGAGCCCATGGAACAAGCCACCCTCGAAGCAGCAGCACGATCCATCCACCTGGGGCAGTGGTGGCGAACCTATGGCACGTGTGCCACAACCGGCTGTTTATTATCATTGAAAGCACTAAAAGGTTCACCATCCCTGACCCAGGGTCCTGTGCCATTTGCTGGGGGGAGACACTGAGCTATTTGGGAATCTCTAGAGTGAGTACCCACGTTAATCTCCTGGGAGGAGGAGCTCTACACTGTACCATAGCTGTGTAGGGCTGAGATAGCCTGGCACAGGGTACAGAAAGGACAGAGCAGATGTCTTCCAGTGGTAAGTCCTGGACTGGCCAACAAACCATTGAAATAGGAACTCAGCACTGTAAAGGAGCCACAGCCGTGCAGAACTCTGCTCTCTCTGCCCCTGGAATAGGCCTGCAGCACTACCCAAGAGCCTGCCGCCTGCTCAGCCTGGGCTTGTTTGATATTGTCTGGCTTCCTGCACCCCAATTAGGATAGTTCTTCTTCATCTAACAATCAGTTCCACTGACTCTGGCATATTTACACACAGAAAATCCAAATGTCTTTCCTGCTCATAGCAGCAACACATACCATGCTTTGCCAAAATTTCTCAAGTTCTCTTCCAGTGAAAAAGCGCTTCATACAGTCAGAGAAACCTTGCTTCCTCCCTCCTCCTCCTCCTCCTCCTGCTTCTCTCCTTCCTGACTTTTCACTGAAGTCTATATATGTGTCTTACTGGCCTGGCAAACTCAGCAGTGCGGTTGAAATCACTCAGTTTGTTGAAGTGGAATGGGGGCTTAGTTGATACAATGCCTAAGGAATGCATTTGATTTGGACTCTTGTCACACCCTCCACCCGCACACGCAGAAGCTATAAATCCTCAGGGCTGGCACAGCAGAGATGAAGGTTACCTACCACTCTACTCTGGCTCGCTCCAGGGTGTTGGCCAGAAGCCTCGTTCCTCTGCAGGGCATTGGGCTTCCCATGGATCCCTCCATCGTAATAGTCCCAGAGCTCTGGATGATGTGCATCCTTCATTCCAAACTTTAAGCTTTGTCCATCATTTGTAAATCTGAGCCAGCAGCAAGGGGTAGGCTTGCAAGAGCTTCAGCCTTGAGATGACCCTGAGACGGCCCCAGATGCGGAGGCAGACCAATGGAAGACTGACTGGCATCCTGTCTGCCCAAGGGTTTGGACATACTTCACAGCCTATGCACAAAATGGGAATGTCCCTCAGAAAGTGATTTTGAGAAAGGATGGGTTCTCAACTATAAAAAAATTGCAGGGCTGAGGAAGATGATTGCTTGTATTTTCCTAAACAGGTCACCCAGCAATTATAAAAAATTCTGTTATTGCTGCTTAGGAAGCCCTTTCATAGCCACATTCTCTCTGGGAAGGAGCATTTTCATCACAAGGAATTATGTATAGGTTAAGGCTTCCTTCATCCGAGGGTGAGGGGGTGGGTGGGTGGAGCGTGTGTGTGCACCTGTGCACATGCGTGTCTTCACCTCTGCGCTCAGCATGTTGTGCACCCTCGCCCAGCCCATGCATTGCGGAGACATCCGTGTCTTCTCACTGCTTGGCTCTGCAACCCTGGAGCTGATCATTACAACCATTTCCCCGTTCACATAACAGTAGCCACGAAGACCTACGTTTGGCTCCTGTCAGTTCCAGAATGCTGACTGGTTTCCTCTGCTTTGGTTTCTCTCTGCTGTTTGGGTCCATTATTCATCCACACTTCCTCACATACCTTCTCTTCTTCCTCACAGACTGGAGACTTTTTTGGTGAGGTCGAGGGAGCTGTGATGAACAAATTGTTAACAATGGGCTCCTTTAAAAGGTAAGAATTTTATAGTCCTCTGAGTCCCCTGAGAAAGTTTGCCTAAACAAAATAAAACGAACCAAGATCAAATAAAGCAAGCCCAGACTTGACCCTATCGCTGGTTTCTACTTGTGTTCATGCTTTGGAAGATCTCCCCGAAATTTGATGCCTGCCTGCCCATGAGTATTAAGGTTCTCCGAAACTCAGCCCACAAAGAGTTTCCTGTTCCCCCAGCATGGAATTTAATGGATGCTAATGCCCTAGTTGGAGTCCGCACCATGAGATGATTCTGTCAGGCCTAAGCAAGTCACCGTGAAGAATAAGAAAAGTTTTCACCTGGTTCGAAAGCAATTGTTTTGTCTCACCAACAAAGCAGGGAAGTTGACTAGGCATCTGGCACTCCAGGGTGGAAGGTAATGCCTACATAGAGACTTATTTACACAGTTTTAGAAAATCAGGGAAATTTCTCAAAGTCTTCTTCCGATGGAAGTAAATTTAAGACCCCTGCTGGAAGAAAACCCAGATGGTACCAAATGTCATAGGTTGGGGTCCTAGTCACCTAGTTCTGAGAACTATCCTAGATCCTGAGTGAAGCTTGTGTGAGGGCCACTTCCTCCTGGCTCCCTGTCCTCATGGGCAGGCCAGACATGCTCTTGGAGACACCAGAGTCTATGGAAAAGCTGTCACCCGAGTGTGCCAAGGACTCCTCTGGAAAAGCCAGTGTTGTCCCCTTCCCTTGGCCATCCAGAAAGAACGGCAGCCTTTGAAGTTGACCCTTAATGGCATATTTGATGCCACTGAATGTCTAACAACAGGAAGGGAAAGGATGGGCTCCCAGCACCTGTGATGTAAGAGCCATGGCCCAGCTCTCGGGGACGGGGAAGGGGGCGTGCCCACAAGCCCTGGTTTACCACTCCCCAGCAGCTTCAGGGCTACAAAGTTTTAGCCCCAGAAATCAGACTTTTAAGCCAGACAACAAGACCAACAAAGTGCTGTGCTGAAAGCAGGGAATTCACAAATGATGACCCAATCTTTGAAAGACCACAGCTTGTTTGTACCAGGAGGGAGCGGGAAAGTAATGATATAAGAAACTGGCAGGAGTCCAGCCCTTCTGCCCTCCCTAACACACTTGCCTGCTCTTGGGCCTGCCTGGAGCACATGTCTTTCACTCCTGCCCAGTTCTCCCCCAACAACTCAAGCAACAGTCTCCTTTGCCAGGACCCATCGTACTTCTGCTTAAATATTCTGCTTGGACCTGGTTTGGGGCTTCTGTGGGGTTTTCTGTGACAGCTGCTGGACCCTCTGCCACCTAGGACTTGCACTGATGGTTCCTATCTTTGCTGAATGTGGACATTTATATCAGGTTAACTTGTTTTCAACTAGGTGGGGGGAAGAGACAAAGGATGAAGAATAACCACACGTGTTTCTCATTTGAAAGTACATTTTTCAACTCTTTTAACAAATCCATTTTCCCCATTTTCCTCTTGGATATTCCTTTCAGACTGGTTTGTGGGAGAAAAAGAAAGGTTATATTAGAATTTCAAACTACTAGTCTCTCCTTAATGTGGGTGAAGTGTGGTGGGTGTGAATCTAGAAGTTTATTTTACTGCGAGAGTAGCCAACATATTTGAAAAAAGGAAGGAATGGGCTTTTACTCGATTATCAC